CAGATGGAGGAACCTAGCACGTGTCCCTCGTCCCCGCTGTCCATCGGTCTGCCGGCGATGCAATCTGGGCCTTACTAGCACCCCGTCTGCTTTGTTTCTGGAAACGGCGCCCCTCCACCCCAAAGCACGCTGGGAGGTTTTTATCACATGCATAGAATTTTGCCACTGTTTGCTTTCTGAAGCCCCTTCGGTGAGATTTAACAATCAATCAAGCGTTCAAAGAGACACTTGAGTTGCACCGCCGGCGTGTCTCTTTGCATACGTCACTCCAGCCGACATGCCAGTCTTCTCCCAGCGTGCTGGACAGCTACCGCTTTGTCACCGGAATCAGGTGGCGGCGGCTTCTACATCCGTCTCCGTTGGCGGCTAGAGGTGACACTCCATCAGCCGAGCGCTGGTTGGGTAATGTATTGACGCTATCCTCCCCTGGGCACAATAGGTGTACAGCCAGCTGATTGATGAGGCCACGAGGAGCATGTCAGCCTCCGCGGCGTGTCAACCACAGTCAGCGGACGGTCAGTCAGTGCGCTGGTACCGAGCGCTGGAGTTGGACACCAAGACTGATGGGCCCAATGGATTCGAAATATGCTCATTCGACACGCCATTCCGCGGTGGCGTGGTGGTTAGCACCGTCACCTCACAGCAAGAAGGACCTGGGTTCCACTCTGCCCACTGGCCTTTCTGTGTGGAGTCTGCATGTTCTCCCCGTGTCTGCGTGGGTTCTCTCCACAGTCCAAAGACATGCTCTGGGGATCAGGTTAATTGGTATTGTTAAATTGCCTGTAGGTGTGTGGATGTGAGTGTGAAGGGTTGTTTGTCTCTGTGTAGCCCTGCGATTGGCTGGCGACCAGTCCAGGGTGTCCACCGTCTATGAAGTTGGCTGGAATAGACTCCAGCCCCCCGCTACCCTCTTTGACGAATAAGCGGTTTGAAGATGGATGGTTGGGCAGGCCCTTCATAGATTATGTGAAAAGCCTGTTTCTAAGGAGTCACCTGGACCTTTTTGGTGACCTCACCATTCGTTACATAGATTTATGAGTTTTCTTTGTTACTTTGGACAACCTGCAGGACATAATTTTCATTCTGCAGACTGCAGGGTGACGGGATCAATGGCAACGTGATGGGGCTGGTAGTGGATATCCATATTTTAATGCACAAGGAAGCTGAGAAGCCTTAATCCCCTTGGAGTAAACATAATCTGGTTGTTGGAGAGCGAGGACCGATGTGAAACCAGAGAGGGGGAGACAATCCCCTCCTGATGTCTCCGTAAAAAGCTTTCGGTCTTCCAGGACAAACGGTCTTCCAGCAGCCTTCTGTCACACTGACCAAATAAATGCTAACGCTGATTTTAATCTTGCCTTTGGCTCCCTGCTCTGGTAATACTCTTGACCTCCTACGGCTGCACCCAGGATGTCGCAGGCCCCTGTCACACCGCCCCTCTGCCTTCCATTAGCGGATACCTGATCCCGCGCGGGCCGAAAGAGAGCGAGCGGCGTGCACAGGAAATGGGCTCGTAGTGGCTCCACACCGTGACCCGGGCTACTTAGAGCAACTGAATTGCATTTATGAAGAGCCTTCTAGTCTTTCTCTTTACCATTACAAAGTGGCTCCCCTCTTTGCAGCGTAAGAGATACTACAGGTAGCAGATGAATCACAGGAGTTGATGTTCACAGAGCGGGGAAGCAAATAGCTTTGAGGTGGATGTGCATCTTCTCACCGCATTCAATATTCCATCAGTGAACCAAATATAAGAGGAGTTACCAGGAATTGAGCATCTCGTGTGTGTGTGTGTGGGCTTGTCTTCCCTCCTCCCAGTCGGTCTCCTTGTCTCCACTGGCACTCTGCACATCTGTCTGCTCATTGATCACAGAGGGAACTGTTTCTCAGGCTCAGCGGGGCGTCCGTGGCCTCAAAAACCCAAACAGATGTGCGCCGCTGCCGAGTCGCCTCCGCACACCCACTCGAACATCCTCAAATGTCTCTTTTATAGCCTTTATTCACCCAGCAGCTGTTTCGCTTACTGCGCCCGCTGCTTTCCAGCCTGATTGTAGAACATGTAGAGAACTCTAGATAAGGTTTGTCCTTTCTTGCCCACTGTAAACACATGGAGGTGCAATATGGGAGGCTAAGCTACAGCACCCGTTACTTACATTAACGTCTCATTCAACGAAAACATGATTACAATTAAGCACTTCAATCTTTTTTTATCATATTTTTAGCTTTTGATATTTTTGTAACTTTACTGGGTGACTATTTATTGCACTTGTTTTGGTTATTCATTTTCAATTTATGTCTCTTGTACACTTTGCCGCTGTAATCCTGCAGATTTCTTCCACTTATATAACATATACCGTATTTTCCGCACTATAAGCCGCACTTAAAAGCTTTTCATTTTCTCAAAAAACGACCCTGCGCCTTATAATCCGGAGCGCCTTATGTATGGATCAATTGGTCAATTGGTTGATCCATACTGCTTGTACACGGCGCTCAAGTTGCGTCGACGCACTCGTTTCATTTCATGGTTCATAAAGTCCTGCGTGTGTTGCAGAGCAGTTCACCTCCAGAACAACAGGTGGAGTAACGTGTTTCTGTTGAAGACGACCAAAAGAGTCACGTCTTTGTGTCGTGTGCCAAGTCGTTGGTTTGTTTATTTATCATAGACTTTATTGCCCCGTGCATCGCTACTGCTGCCTTTTATCTCGGACACATTTGTCCCGTGTTTTCCTCCACAACTTTGTGCACCGCTCGACCGGCAAACCGTTGTTTGCGGAGATCTCCCTTCATCAATCGGGAAGCCGCCCGCGCGTCCTTATAGTCCGCCAATGACGGGTTGTATAAGTGGTCATATTTACGCATTTCTTCCGACAAAAGTTCTTCAATCTGATCCGTTCCCTCGTAAACATTCTTCGTTATATTAATGGCGGTATTGTGCTATGAACCTCGCAGCATCAATCGGACCCTGAAAGCACCGTCTCCACCAAACCAACGGGGAAAATAGGTAATTCTAAAATAGGCGTGGCTGGAGAGCAGCCAAAGATTTAAGGCGTGTATAAGCTATAGTTGCACAGGTGTTCCGGTGTGGGGGCTTTTGTTGTGAAGGGGGAGATGGAAGGAGAGGAAGTTGAGGTGGTGTTCGACACAAAGTATAGGCGCACCCGAACCACTCAGCTACACGTGGATGGCGAGGGCGGCGGGTGGAGCGGACGCACCTCACAGCATCGATCGGACCCTGAAAGCACCGTCTCCACCTCCCCACATCCCCCCCGATGTCAAACGTTTGGCTGCAGGATCTTATGCGCCTTATAATCCGGTGCGCCCTATATATGAAAAATGTTCTAAAATAGGTCATTCATTGAAGGTGCGCCTTATAATCCGGTGCGCCATATAGTGCGGAAAATACGGTAGTTTTGAACATTATATTCCATTTCTCCCAATTGAGACCCCTATATCCTACACGGAGCTCCTTTAAAGAAATCGTAATTTACTATCAACTAAAAATAAAATGATTTTGTGTTGAACACAGATTAATTAAAACCCAGACACTTTTGATACTATTGCAATGGACACCACACTGCAACCAGAATCAATTGATCAACCCTAAAGCATTAAAAACAAAACCCTTGTCCATCATTTCCCTCTCTTCACCTCCAATTTTGTCTGCACATTAACATTTTGGATCCTGTTTCAATCAAGATGAAACATGTGGACGTTTTCGCCTCAATTCACACCACCCAGAATGATCTGGTATGTTCTGATTTTGTCAAAGTGTTGAAGCAGCAGCCGTGAGACAGAGGGACGGCGTGATGTTTTTTTCCTCCTCAGACATTGTCATATGCTCCAATGGACCCCCTCGTGTGTCCGAAATTGCCCACAGAGAATCTCATTATACGTTGTGCACCGAGTCAGAGGTGGCACGCCGCCCCCCCTCGTTGTGGTCCGAGGTCCTGGTGCTTCTTGGAGACGCACAAGGAAAAAGAAATTAACCTACCCAAGCAAGGCAAAAGGGAAATGAAATAACAAAGGCAAAAGGACTAGCTTGCACATAAAAGCAGTACAAGTTCTCCAACGATCTCTGAAATCTGTGCCCCCCCCCCCCCCCCCCCACTAAAAAAGGGTATCGCTCTCAACGAAATGATGTAGTGGACTGGATGGGATTCGGGCATCCCGAGTCATTCTCCTGTGCAAAGCTTCATTTCACTGGCTCTCAGCCCCCCCACTAGGTTCAGTAATGGAGCTTTAAATCTCCTCCGTTGTTGTCGGGCCCTCGCTCATTTTTCTTCCGGGGTCGATGATAGAGCTCTGACTTCTTGTGCCACCTTGTCGATAAGACTTCACTGGGAGCCTTGAAAAAAAAAACTATTTTCCCTCCCCGCGTCGGCCTGGCACCCCTCCCTCCATCCTGTCATGCTCAGTATGCGTCTCTCCCTGCAGACATCCTATCGCCTCCCCCTGCTGACTAAAATATCCACATTAATACTCTCCTTTAAAAGACTTCTTTAGTAAGATCCCGCAAGCTCAGTTCTACTCCAGTTTTAAATTGTATTGAAAGGTCAATCCCTGGATCTCGCTTTTCGTCTCTTCCAGGAGCTTTGCTCTCTTTATATTCTGAGCCGTAGTCTATTCTAGCAGCCGTGTGTGTGTGTGTGTGTGTGCGCGTGCTCGCCCTGTGTTTTGTGTGAACAGCCCCATTAGAGAAAATAAAAGATTGAGAAAAAACAGGAAACGGGGAAGAGAGTCTGTGCGTGGGAAGTTTTCTCCCTCTGTGATCGTTAAGGATGGGATCGTGTTTTGGGGGGAATTGCATCTTTTTTTGTGTTTCATGTTTTTGAGCTAAATTGCTTCCTATATCTCTCTGACAGCTCGGCATAGTTTGTGATTACTGAGTGCAACAGTTTTCAAAACGGGTAAGCTTTCAAAAAGTTGCCCCCTCCCCGAGGGTGCAACACACACACACACACACGTCTGACTCTTTCCTCGTGTTTTGTTTTGCTCTCTCGCAGAGGCCTTCGACCTGGTGCTGCGTCACGGCCGCAACTTCACGCTCGCCATGCTCAAGTCGGAGTTCCCGGGTCTCGGGGGCGGAGCCCAGAGCTCCGTGGGGCAGCTGTTCCTGGACATGTCGCTCTACATCCTGGGCTCGGACTCCACGGTGGACCACATGGTGGAGGTGCTTTATGGCCGCCTCTTCCCCCTGGCCTACCGTCGCCTGCTGGGCGGCGTCGCGTCCTCCGCGTCCGAGGAGTGTGTCAGGGGAGCCTGGAAGGACTCTGGAGCGTTCGGCCCATATCCCAAGCTGATGATGACCCGTCTGTCTCGCTCCCTCCTGGCCACGCGCGTCTTCCTGCAGGCGCTGAACCTGGGCATCGAGGTGGTCAACACCACCGACCACCTGCGGCCTGGCCGGGACTGTGGGCGGGCCCTGCTGAGGCTGTGGTACTGCCCACACTGCCAGGGCCTGCTGGGGCCGCCGGCCTGCAGGGGCTTCTGCCAGGCCGTGATGCAGGGCTGCCTGGGGGGAGCGGCCGAGGTGCAGCCGCACTGGAGGAGCTACGTGGAGGGACTGGGGAAGGTGGCCGGCGCCATGAGAGGGGAGCAGGATCTGGAGGCTGTCGTTCTCAGGGTGCCTTCCATGATCAAACTGGCTCTCAGGCACGCTGTGGGCGCTCGCACCCGCCTTACTGCCCTGGTGAGTCCAGTACACACATACACACAGCTCACATATGTGAGTCAAGTCTGCCTGACTCATTGATCTTTTATCTGCCTGAGGTTTGTGCAAGTTAAGAATCTAAGACTCTAAGAAGGAAATTTTAGCAGCCTAAACTGTGTATTGATAAATCACCGGCGCTGTCCGTGGTGCTGAAGGAGCAGACAGACTTGTAATTATGCTTTTTCTTTTCCTTTTGGATCCATGTTAAGGATGATAGGCACACACACACAAACACACATGCAGGCATGCATTGTAAAAAGAGTACAAAGACTGCGTTGATGTGATAACAATCTACACCACTGTGACTAACGTTCCTATTCGTCAATGTTTAAATTTGCACAGTGATAACAATAGCATTTGGAATGTTACGCCTCACGATTTTACGCTGCAGCCTCTGCCAGATTGTTCACGTTTCATGTAGGTGCAGTGATTCTTCTTTACCCTCATCAGACAACCTCACAAACTCTTTTCGATCCGCATTGCGTGCCAGTTGTACTTGACGGATAGATAATACATTCTCGCGCTGGAGGACTTCATCGGAGGACTTCTATTGCGTCTGGTCAGGGAGGATGAGCGATCCGGCCCACGTTTCCTCCCTCCAACGAAGACGGTGTCACCTCGTAATAGGAAAATCTCAAACTGCTTCCCGGGGTTAAGGAAGCTGAAGGATTCTCCGATCTTGAATTGCAGCTGAATACAGAGAGTGGGAAATAATAGCGCAGAGAGGGGGAGTAGGTGGTGGTGGGGGGTCAGACAGTCTGTCCCGGCATGTCTCGCTGAAACTCGTCTCTCACTCCTCTTACGTGTGTTCTCAACTCCGATAAAGCCGTCAAGTTTGTTTGCAGCCCACATGTGAAGTCAGGGAGAAGTGCTCATGAAATATAAAGCCCGTTTGCTCGGCTGCAGAGCTGGAGGTGCTTTTCGCTCCTGTAGATGCGCTGAACTTTTCACTCTCACACCCCCCGAGTCCCTGCAGCGACCAGGTTTCCACTCAGAAGCCATTATTTATTAACACACACAGGTTGACCTCACTTGCTCTACAGCGCGAGGGCGTGGCAGCAACAAGAATTGCTGACTTGGGGGAAACCGCTCTCTCCCCGTGCGCGCGAGTGTGATCCCTCTCCAAAATGAAAGGGGTCCTGTTGGGATTTACTTTTGGATGCAGCTCCAGTCACCAGGGATGACTTTACGCTGTGTTTGTGGCTTGGCGCTGGATTAAAGCCGCCGTTGTCCTGTATTGTTCAGCAGTGTCGCTGCGACATGGTCGCGAATGTAATCTTGCTGAGACACTCAACGCTCAAAGGGGCCGTTGAAGGGACGGGGGCATTGTTTGCCCCCGAAGTCCGGACAGAAAAAACACAATCACACAACCCCTGATTACCTCCCCTCAAATAACCAGTTTAGGAATTGGATGAATGAATTTAAGTCTTAAAGGGACCATTGCAGGGTGCTTCTTGATATTTCAGCCAATTAACTATAATAATAATAATTTGGCTTGTTGCATTTATTGAATAATAAATGCAACATCGAGCAGGAACACTAATAATGATTGTTTTGATCAGATTTTCCATGATTTATAAATAAGAGCCATAAGGTAGAGCGCATTAGAATCCCAATAAAATAACAATAAAAACTTCAAAGTTTACAGATCTACAAACTGGGTCTATAGTAGTGTAATATTTTGTGGCATTTTCATTTTCATCCACATTAGGACAATCTAAAGTTCAAATCAAGCAGGATTTCCATGTAATTGTAGAATTCAGGACTGCGTCGGTGGTCCGTCCGAAGTGGTCGATGTGGCCTCACATGATGTAAACCATCTATTGAAGCGTTTAATGATGCTGTCAAATAGCCGGTACATTATCAACTGTGCGACAAGAAAGAGATCAAGTAAAAGAGGCCGGGGAAACAAAGAGGATGAGCGAGAAAAAGCAGACGTGTGCTCATACTGACAAAAAAGGAGAGAGGTGCAACTTGATTTGGTGATGGTAATTCTGTGTATTTCTACAGTTTAGCTTTTTAGTGTCTCTGCCATCAGATCAGACCACTGTGGGGCATCCACCTCAACATATGTAAATCTTACACAGTGGCTTTTAAATATGTAAACATATTTTTTTACTATAAGAATCCTTCATCATTTTCCAGCCCACAGTTGAAATGCCCACAAACTGATAAAAAATGTAAAGTCATCAAATATATAAATACGTAATTAAATTGGTAATGCAAAAAGAGAAATGTAAGCACCGTTAATGTAAAGTACGTCTGATTTGTGGCTCTGATAATGATGTTTGGTCCTGTAAATCCTGACATGGCTTTTAAATATATTTGCGTAGCTGTTAAGTGAAAACCTAAGCAATCATTTAAGGGTAATTCAATATTTTGTACAGCCACATAACGGATCTACGGAGCACTACGTCTTGTTCAGTGCTTTTCCTGTGATTTATAAAAGCTGCAGCTGCGAATGCCATCCGTCCTTTGCCCCCCACAGCAGAGCACTGTCTCTGAGGGTGACAAACGGACGGACTCCGGAGGAGAAGTGTCCTCAAAGTGCGAGAAAGACGTCGACTTGAGACACGAGTAGCTCTGCCGGGGAGATGACCACTGCCAGTCTACCGGTGACGCTCCAGCATGAATCCACCGATGTTCTGAGCGACGGAGAGGGCAGCCAAGATCCCCACAGCTTCCATCTATTCCCCTGTCAACGTCCCGCCCCTCTCCTGCAGCTTGATGTCATCCACCTCCGTCTCTGCATCTCCTCCTCGAAATCCGTCTCTCCCTTTCACCCCCGCCCTGCCACTTACTTCTTTCCCACTCGTTTGTTACGCCCTGCTTCGAGAGGAGATGCATGATTTATGAAGCTCTATTTTTACCAGTTACCGAGGAAAAAGAGAGGAGAGGAACAACGAGAGGGAGAAGGAGCGGAGTAGAGTGTGAAGAGCGAGCCCAGGGGGGGAACAGCAGAGGGTGGAGGAGACATCCATCACCCTGCGACCTCTCAGGCTGCAGATGAGGAGGGGAAGGAGGCCGCGACGTGATGGATCCGACCGCGAGTAAAAGAGACTGAGTGCATGAGCCACGCGTGTCGTCGGTCACTCGCAAACTGTTGCTTTAGTGAGGAAAACAAGAGCACTAATTAAATCTCTGCAGCATCTACTTATCAATCCGTTCAAACATGTCAGCTATTGATTCGTAAATGCTTTTGGAGCGTTAAAACATGAAATGATTCACGTTTAGAAACGGTGTAACGTGGTCAACGTTATATTCATTATGTCGTTTGGGCCTTTGAGGACTTCAATAATTCAAATGAAACAATCTGCAGTTTGTATGACCATTACAGATATTTGCACGTGTAATTGAGTTTGGCTTAATGATCAAAAATAACAACAAAAAAAAAAAGACTGATCAAAGCTACATTGATACGTTTTTTTCCCTGCTGTGTAAATTAACATTTAAAAGCATAGATCTAGCTGAGTTTTTGCAAAATGTGCCAGCAGCTGATTGGCTGAGCTCAGCACAAAGACGGAGAATAAGGAGGAGCTTTTATTTGGCTCCATAACAGAAAGAAAACCTGCCAATACCTCAAGAGATTACTGATTGAACACGTTCCTGTCAGGGTTGGGTGGAGGAAGGCAGGACTCAAGCGCAGACTTCTTAAACAAAGGAGACTTTAATCGTCCAAAAGCAAAAGAGAAAAACGCACACAAACTAGGGGAAAACCGGCAGGCAGGAACTACGAGCATCCACGACGATAGACAATGACGCGACATGTGACAAGAGACACACGGCTTAAATACACTAGGGAGGTGCAGGTGATTGGACACGGTGGAAACAATCAGATAATTACAGGGGATGACAGGACCAGGCAGGAAGGGAAGTTACCCAGGGAGACAAGAAGCAGAAAACTACAAAATAAGACAGGAAATAAACCCACAACGTGACAGTTCCATCTTAAGACAGAAGTATAAAAACGTGTTACACGTTGTTGTGGCAGAACATGTTGTGCCAGAACATTTCTTAATCTAACATGACATGCCCATGTGTTTTTTAGAAATACAGTATTGGTATATCTGCAGTACATTTTCCCATTTCGCTTGCTGATAAGCATACTTCCCAGAATGTACAACGTGTCCTTTGCACCTTGCACCTACTGATGTACTTTGTAATTATTCATGATTTCTATGATTTTCTATTCACAATATATATATATATATATATATATATATATATATATATATATATATATATATATATATTTATAATTTATAAACAAATGTCTCGTTTCAAACTAGACTCTGATGGGACAACTTAGCTGTCTATTTGAGTGAATTAACATCATCGTTAAGTGCTGACAACTCACGGTTTTACCATAAAGTACATCCTTAACTCGCTGCTAAAATATGGACACGTTTTTGTTTTAAAAATATTTTGGGATTTTTTTTATCTCATTAATGTCACGTCATTGTTCATGATGGATTTTCTAAATAAATGTGCTAAGTTGAAATGCGTATTTATGTATTAATTAAAGTAAATGTCACTTAGTATGATAAACATACGGGTATATTTTCAAAAAACAAACTATAATACATAAAAAGAGACAGACTTGAGCCTCCCGCTGGTAAATCTATCAGGAGCGTGTGCTCCCTTGTAACTTGTCGATGAGGTCACAGGTGTGAGATGCCTTTTCACAAGGCTGGATCTGAAACGTTGAACTCGTTTTGAGGAAGCTGTGGTGGGAACGTCGTAGATCAAATCTCTGGAGCTCAGCGTGCTCTCATCTTCTCCTCCACATGATCTCTTTGCCATTACCAGCCATGAGTTGTGGAGCGAACTCGCCAGTCAACTCTCACTGAGACGTCTGCCGTTACCATGGGGTAAGTGGAAAGGTTTTAGCCAGCTCAGGGATATAAAATGACAAAGAAACGTCTGGAAAGAATCACAAATTTGCGTTGAAATGGAAAATAACTACCCAAAAAGAATTACTAATTGGATAAATTTAAATTATAACTGATAGTTGTGGATAAATTGTTGGCACAGTTGACTAAAAGTCATGCGTAAACCATGAATTAAGTTATCTGAAAGTGAAGGTTGAAACCTCCAGCTCACTCCGAGTGGTAGCAGCATAAAGACGAGGTTGGACTGTACTTAAGAGCCACGAGGAGTCGCCCCTAGGAAGAGTGTGAGGCTCTTCGGCACTGGCATTGCTTTTGCTGACCCAGTAGCAATAGACTGAACTAAATGTTGACGGTAGTGAAAAAATAACAATATTTAGTAAAGATCGCCTAAAGAGACATCCGATCAATTGGACACATTTGCTGGTGTCTGTTAACGGGTGTTGAGCTTGGCGGTGGGACCAGATAGGAACGGCTGGCTGCTCTGGCTGACTCGATTGAACTTACAATTCACACTACATCAAACCGAGGCGTTATTGCACCATATTTCTCTTTTCCCAACCCAGACAGTACGGGCTCCATTTGAAGTTGTAACCATAATAGCTGTCTGGTATTACTCTACTTTTGATATAGAATGAGACTTCTCTCCCAGATTTGCACTTCACTGGGACACTTTGAAAGGCTTTCAGCTGAAATAGGGTGCTTATAATGTGTGCAGTTCACCAGAAGCCACTTCCTATAGTGACAACAATGCAGTGAGGAGGAGGAGGTGGAGGAGGGATGCTGACTCAGACTCCCCCCCTCTCCCGGACCGACTTGAACGCAAACATTACTCACCAAATATTCTCTGACCGGCAGCATCTTCTTTGATCTTCAAACAGTCTGCTTATGAATAACTCTCACTCGGCCTGCTGCTGCACCGCCGTGTCAAGAGCCACGTGCACAGCCGATGATTTGTTGAGACTTCATTCTAACGCCGTGTCTGCACGAGCGCAGCGCCACATGGAACCTGAGCTGCATGTGCGCTAGACGACATGTGGACTGTGATGTGTGTGTGAGAGTGTTGTGTTACTGGCAGTCAGCAGATCTGCTCAGTGCAGATAAACGTGTGCAGATATCGGAGAGCTTCATATGCACACTCTCCTGTTAGTCGTGTTGGTCCAGCCCTGGGTGATATTAATATGCAGCTAATGAGCCCCTTCCTTGAAGAATACGGAAACAATCGGCCGTTGGTGTGTGTGTGTGTGTGTGTATGTGTTTGGGGGGGTCTGCACCGCATGCATCTCTCCCTTGTGCCACAACTCCCCTACGGCTTCCTGAGAAACGCACAAACGAGAAGCCGAAAGGAGCTCCAATCACATTAATCATGGCCTGTGGGAGCCCCGGCAGCGCAACCAGAGAAGTACCTGGGAGGAAGGGAATGAGACGTGTGTGTGTGTGTGTGTGTGTGTGTGTGTGTTTGTGTGCGTCAGAAGTACACGGCAGGGGAGTGTTAGTAGAGAGCTGGGTATTAGTGAATGCCTGGTGCAGGAGGACTCCTGTCTGTGTGTGTGTGTGTGTGTGTGTGTGTGTGTGTGTGTGTGTGTGTGTGTGTGTGTGTGTGTGTGTGTGTGTGTGTGTGTGTGTGTGTGTGTGTGTCGTGAGTGCATTCCTGGGTGACAAGGCTGCACTGATTAACCCAGACGATTCTGTCTTACAGCTGTTCAGCATTTCTGGGCGTGTTAGCAAGCATTCATAAGCACGTGTGTGTGTGTTGGCCAGTAGTATGTAGAGAAGGTGTATCATGTTAATGGGCATTAGCTGCATTATGAACAAATAATTGTCCAAATTAAATCTGTGTGTGTGTGTGTGTGTGTTGCCTCGGTTGCAGATGGATAAAGATGTCCAGGGCTGCTCTATCGGGTCACATCAGTATTCAGCAGCAGCAGCCTATTCACTTAAAGCAGAGCTGGGCACAATTACCTCTTAACATTACATGGCAGAATTAAGCCTTGTCCAAAATCCCCGGGGGAAATTAAACCACCGGCAAATCATTAAACCACAAGCTAAACATTAACAGCCATTTGCATTTTTATTGCACCTGAAAAGAAGGTGCCAGGTCCATTATCTCAGAGAGACAGAAGGGGGACTTTTTTATTTAGTGTTGTTATGTTGTCCCGTGTGCACAATGGCGGTTGTACGGGGAGGGAAGAAGCAAACGGGACGTCATATTTCCACGCTCGCGTTTCTTTTAGAGTTGCTATGATTACAAATTCGAAACAAGGCGGAACCGGCTTGCAGAGGATACAATGACTTGTTTGTTATGCAAATACCCGACCCCCCTACCCCCCCTCCCCTTACACACACACACACACACACACACCCCCCGTCCACAGCTTTCATCCCAGCAAAAAATAAACAAACCCAAGCGGATGACAATTTGCCGAGGGGCCGCAGTTTGGCTGCCGACAGGTTCTCCTTGTTCTGCACTGTCAGTGGTGTTAAGTGTTTGAATAAACGGGGGGAAGGGGCAACCGAATTTGCTCACCGGGTTCTCCTTTTCTCCTCTGCAGGTGAGCGGGATGTGCGGAAGCACTCCCCAGCGCGCCTCCCGCTCTGTGGCATCCTCCCCCCCTCCTCCTCCTCCTTCTCCTCTTGCCGCCGCCTCCGCGGCCCGCTACGCGCAGCTCTCCCCCCCGGACTATGACGAGACTCTGGGCGGCCTCCGCAGGTGAGGGTAATCTCCCCTCCACCCCCCCCTTTCCCCTTACTGCGGGGGCGGTTGTACGTCTGGCAGAATATCGTCCCCGACAGCTTTTCCTGCTGTTTCCTCATGACAATCAGTCTTTTGCTTTTTGAGTGCTTTCCAACACCCCCGACGCCCCCCAGGCTTAAATAGGGGTGTAATAATGCCCAGCAGAGCTGCCGGTCTCGCAGCACAATACCCAGATTAATGTCAATTAGGCCTCTTTTATTCTGTCCCTCTCGTCGGCTCTGGCTCTCACTGCTGCTAAGCTGAACCCTCCCTTGTTCTGCGTCCGTTTCTCGCTCCCTGCTGCTGCCGCGTGTGACAATCCCGTTCAGATCCACTGCAGCTGCATTCCTTGCCTTTCTCTGCGTTGAGCATCTCCTTTTCTTTGCCGTCACCCTCAGGGAGTTCATATCCAACTTGAAGGGCTTCAGCTCCTTCTACAGCGGTCTCGGGGAGGCGCTGTGCAGCCGCGAGGCGGCTCCCGCGAACCATTCCCTCTGCTGGAACGGCCAGGAGATGACAGACAGGTAAATCAGTGACTCACGAGCCTGTGCGTTGACAGCTGTTAACACACACTTCAAGCCCCCTCCAGATCAGTGCACCCCAGGACGGCCCTGCACAGGTTTATTGCCTTCACCAGATGAGCGGTTACACAAACAATCCGCTCTGATTCCTGAGTTCCCAGCGACCCGGCGGCACGTCTGGGGGGAGTGCAGGTGAGTTGAAGGGTACGTCGGCCCAGGGCTGATGAGCACGAGGGTCCCCTCTTCTCCCGCCGAGTGTGAGTGTAAATCTTGAGTTTGGCTCGATGGGATGTTATTAATGTCAGCCGCGCTGTCACCTCATTCTCGCTTAGTTAATTGCTGTTTCGATCGCTCTCCCGCGCGCCCGGCAGAACCTCATTTGGTTTTGCGCGATATTTCACTTCACCCCTGTCCTTTCAGCTCCACGCATCATAACTTCCTCCCTCTCCCCCCCATGCTGACAGCTGGCCCCAATTTCCATTTGGCTTACATAGTTATAGATATCATCTTTATTTGATTTTTTTTCTTTTTTTACCTTTCTTTGCTTTGGAATGTAATCAATGCTCACGATTCAGACGGGAAGCAGCTGCGGTTGAACCTTTTACCTCTTGTTCCAGAGAAGAGGCGAGAGTCAATTCTGGGCTTTTCTCAAACTGCTGAAAGAGAGTCTGTCGCTAAGATGGAAAAAAAAAGGCGCCAGGACCGGAGAAGAGATATGACGTTAGCCGCTAACCCGCTGACAGTTAGCGTGTAGGGCAGAGCCATCCGGAGGGGATGATTGGACCAAACGGGGCGATAGGAAGGTGCAGGGAGGCTGGAAAGGAGACGTGAAGCGATGGAGAGATTACAGTGGCCCCCGGGCGAGCAATTCTCAGAGTCGTCTGCGGGGCCACGTATGCCTGCACACTCACTCGGGTACATTTTCACTCTGTGAGATTTGTTCTGGATCATCTTCCATTATCCTCCCCAGATAGGGCCGTCTTCTCACTTTGTCTCAAAATGATACATTTAGATTGGGTGTGGGGGGGTGGAAGCGCCAGAGGGTTCACGTACGGAACATGCCGGTTGCTTGAGCAATCTTCGGAGCTAAATGTGGCATTTTTTTCAGCAGGCGTGTTTGCCATCCTACCTGGAGCCGAGATCAGAGCAGCAGCACTTCTCACCACATCAGACAGCGTTACGCAGAGAGCTGTGATAACAAACGTGACGGCGCAACAACTTAAAGCATTGATTTTCCGTTCCACTTTTGCATCTAATGACAGTGAAAACCGCGCTGATGATAAAAGATGAGACGTCAGGTGTGAACCGTTTATTCAGGAACTTTGTGAATAGGGGGAGAGGAGGTCAATAACGATGGGGGGTGCTGGTGTTTCTCATTTGGGTTAAAGAAGGCCATTTGTTTGCATCATTCCTTATGAAAGGACCTAATAATTACAACAAGAGTGACTGTATCACAAAGCTGCTCTTGGGCAGTTTTGTCTTTGTGCCAGGGTTTAATAATGGGTTAGTGTATGTTTTAGGAACAATGCACAATAATCAACATCAAAACAAATCTTCTAATTTGCCTAAGACACAACTTTTCTTGGAGCTAAACGCTAAAGTTGCTATGGTAACACTTAAGAACCGCGTCAAAAGTGTAGAATACAAAGGTCAGCAGGTTGTCTCCCCTACTCAACCTCTCTGTGACACTAACACCTTCACCATAGTTACCTGCAAACAGTGTTATATTATTTTCACACTTTGTAGGGAGGATGTTGTAGTTTGGGAAGACGAGGGTTGCAAGAAAATTTTAACACCGTCCGACAGAGCTTTGCAGTTTTGTCTTTTTTACAAAGTGAAAGATAAAGTTTACCAACCACCACCAATATTTCCCTCAGAGCTGTTTTCATTATCACCTTAATCTGATTCTCGCTTTGCTCGAGAAGACGTTCAGCCTGAAGTTGTACGGTGTATTAACAGTAACAACCTACACACCCTGACCTTTGACCCTGTACTGCAACTGGGGGACTGGAAGTGTGACCAGGTGGTGTGAAAAGCGTCAGACCCCCATTATGTTTCCCTTCATCCCCTGAAGTCCCGTCTCCCGCTGGTGTTTATTCCGGTGTGTCTGTCGTCTCCTGCAGACTGTAATAGTGTGGTAATTGGTGTTAGATTAGATTAGGATTAGATTATCACCTGAGCTAACTGATCTGATCCCCTCTGCTAGCAGAGAACAACAGATAACAAACTGAGGGGCTGACAACTGACGCTATCAGTGGCCAAACGGAGTTTAAGGTGGATGCACTCCGAGCTACGTCTCAGTAAGGAACCTCTCGGCTCCTTTTCTCCATTCAAAGTCTCCCTCTCCTAATCCTCCTTCCTCGACCCATTTTTCCTCTTTCTGTCTCCTGAGCGGATCACACATCTCACTCCATTATTAATGTTATAATTAGCGGCGGGGAAAGGGGTGAGATCATGGCTAATAAGACGGATAAATAACTGGGGTAACGTAATTTGACTTTAATGAAAAGTCTGTCTGAGGGGTGAGCGAAAGACTGATGAGTTGAGATGGCGTGTGTGTGTGTGTGTGTGTGTGTGTGTGTGTGTGTGTGTGTGTGTGTGCGCGTGAGTTCAGGTGAGTGCTCAGGGCGATGTCACAGAGATGAGAACAGAGTATGACCTCATGCTTTCTCACACACACGTCATCCTTTCATCCCGTACAAACATTCCCCTTCTTCCCCCCACACTTGTTTTCCTTCATCCCTCCAACATTTGCAGCAGTGCAGCAGATTGCATTTAGTGCGAGCGTTGACCTGACCACCTCTCATGTGGTGTCTAGCTCATTCTAACACACTTGTTTTGAGGATGTGGTGGGAAGGGAGGAGGAGCCAAGAAACACCTGGAGGAACGTTTTCAGGCTCCCCCCAGCTCCTCCTCTCGGAAACATACACAGGTGTCAACAGAGCTGCGTTTCCTTGGTTACAAGCGGGGACATGTGAGCACCTGCCCGAAGGCCGGTTGTGTGCATAAACATCCCCTTGCTGCTAAAGCAGGACGCCTCCACTAATGTCCTCTGATACGACTAAAAGCCGCTAAACGGGCACTCAACCATCAGCCAGTCTTTGTATAGTGGTCATACAAAAGAAGTTGTAAAACATTTTATGTTAACATTTAATAACCTCTGATACCGAGACATTTAGGACATAAATACTTTTCCACAGTTTTTATTGCAAATATAAAAAGAAATCTTGAGACATTCACAATGTTACCCACTGTTTAACTATGGACGCAGTGTCTTCAAGGGAAGAGTTTTTCCTTTTGGAAGGGTTGAGTTACTAATTGTCTCTCCAGCCCCAAAACTTGTGAAGATCGTCGTTCATCTTATCAACACTAGGTGGTGACAAGCACCTTGTTTTGTGGGAAAACGTCCTCTTCTTTTTGTCTTCTACCCATGAAACTTACATTCAGGTTTCTAAATTCTGTGAAACTTCTCAAAACCATCACGAACATAAGTTATTAACTTAACTTATTTCAGGGAGGAGCCCTTTGCTGCACGTTGTCCCCTTTTTGTGTGTCTATATGTAATAAAAGAAAATAGTTACCAAAAACTAATGCAAGTAAAAAGAACTGAGCTCATTCTTTCTTCCCGTCCTTTCAGGTTTCCTGGGCCGGGCCTGAAGCGACCGCACCCCGGCTCCGAGGTCCGAAGTAACAAGCCCCCCGAGCCGATCATCAGCCAGATCATAGACAAACTCAAGCACATCAACCAGGTCAGCAGTGTGCGTGTGGTTTGTCCACAGTTTGTGTGTATGTACTCGTCCGTCTTCTCCGGTCTTTTACGGTACGTTTGAACTCTGCCAGCGAGCAGTTCTCCCTCATATTTGAGGTGATGTCAACTCATTGTGTACGCAAAGACAAATCCTATGGCAGGAAACGGCTGATTAGATGCTTCTTTGCGTCTCATCTGCACCGCAAAGAAAACCGAAACAACTTTTTAGACACAAAACGTGGTGGCGGTTGCGAAGGACACAAATGAAGTCCTCCATCCACAGCAAGCCCCCTCCTTTTTTTTTGTCGTCATCATGGAGACCACCTATTGGAGTAGGCCAGCCGGAGTAGTGCAGAGATCCTTGGAGGTAGATGCATCAGCCCACAGATCTGGCTGCGATTCCTGGTTCCTGGTTGCACTTACAGCTGTCAACACGTCGATGGCCGCTGTGCCATAAACCCGCCCCCCCCTCACTCCACATGCCCCAACCCCAACAAACACGCACACCATCTTCCAGCTGCAAAGGGTGTCTGCTTTTGTCTTTGTGTGTATGTGTCTGAGCGCCTGAGTGCTGCAGGCTTGTCACTGCGGATTACAGGCCTTCCCTCCTGTTTAAACAACCTGTGAGATCCAAGCAGCAACTGTGCACCTTCCTCCACTCCGCCTGTGACAACCTCAAGACAGGGTGTTGGGGTTTGAGACGCTGCAAATTTCCCAATTACTTATTTACTTATAATTACAAGTGCTGTATTACCTCATGAGCACTTCGGGTGCAGGCGAGAGGAGTGACACTCGAACAGGACCTTCAGGTGTTTACTTTCCTTCCACGTTCTTCAGAATCACACCAAAGGATTCCTCTCACATCTCAGGTTTAAAAGATTTGAGCAACAATAATCACGAGAAATAAAAGGAGTCAGATGATCAGATTATTTAAAACAATTTATTTTGAGGTCCAACCAAAAGTGAGCATTAAATGCTGGTAGTAATACATTCACAGGAAAACTGCGTGCAAACACTGCTTTCGTAAGTACGTTGTGTGAGAAGTAAAACAGAAAGGTGTGTTGGATGTTATCGTACAATTCAGGTAGTCATCTTAATGCTCACTTCTTGTTTAAAATCTCCAAACTCAGCATTCTCATCCCTCAGCGTTTCACTTGTTGAGTATGATGTTCATGACACCAACAGGAATATTGGCCTAACAAAACCCACACACACCGTGTGTTTATTTCCAATAAACTGGATTCATCCCATAATCCTAAAAACACAGGACGTGTACACGTACACACTCTAATATAATAAGCCTTTGAAAACTTCCTGCCCTGACAGGGACAAATATTTGCGCCGATGTGATAACAAGCAGAGCTGCAGACCGGTTGCCGGGTGGATCAGGTTCCTGATGGGCTTTTGATGAGGTTTTTGCAAGAAAATGCATTTTGGCGAAGGACATTCAGACAAGCTGTTTGAAACACGCACACAGTCAAGCTCTTTCTTCCTGTGTGTGCGTGTGCGTGTGTGTGTGTGCGTGTGTGTGTGTGTGTGTGTGTGTGTGTGTGTGTAAGCAGATCACATAAACGTCTGATATTTATGCAGATTGGCTAATCACAAGGCTGTTTTTAATCCCATATCTGATGACCGTACAGAAAAGTTAAGCACATTTCAAGCTTCCCCTCAGATCTCGACATCAATGGGCTGGAATAACTTCTAACAAATGATTGACTGACTAGTTCACTTCCGGAAAAACTGTTTATGACTCGTGACTTTGAACAGAAATGTGATTACAGAAATCATCACTATGCTGATATACTGAGGGACACAATGGGAACGCCTCAAAAGATGGTGCAATACAACACCATAGTCTGCAATAAAAACTCCCCTTGTGGAGTTTGAAATATTTTGTTTTTTTTGTGCTCACTCGGGTAACTTTAGATATTTCCTTTTACGTTAGAAGTTGTTATTGAATCTTTTCTATCTATTTTAAAAATAAGCTCACATTTGATAAACACATTGTTCTTTGCCAAAGTAAGAACAAGACTAAGAGTCTGGACCCAGCAGTTAAGTGAGGATGAAAAACGCTGAGCTGAGCCGAGCTGAGCGCTACCGTCTTAATGCACACATGCTCGCAGTAACAATGTGATTGTGCGTTAGTGTCTTACAGAAGCCCAATCCGGCTGCAGTCTTAAAGTCTTATAGCGTGACGTGACGATACTTAGATCGTAAGAAACAGTCCAATAGTGCCAGTCATGTTCTAGCTCGTCAGGAAGCAGGCTGGAAATCCTAATATAGCATATCCAGCCCCCTACCCCTCTATTATGTGTAAGATAGACATAATAGAGTATAGGGAGGACATAATACACTTCAATCATAATGTTCATAAAGCCCCTTTACACTCAAGCGTTGAATAGGTGATTTACAAAGACGTCATGTTTATTACAGGTTCTCTACTGGGAAAACGTAAGCCTCACTGATGTAATAAATCCAAAAGATGTGTTTTGTGTTTCCCCCACACTGATAAAGTGTGGTTTAAAAAAAAAAAATGTTTTTGCCGCTAGCTAGCGCGTATCCTCAGGGAACCTTGAATCTGTGCATCCATGGTACACTTGTTGAAGTATCTGAGTGGTGACTGACTGTCATTGCCATCCATGGTAGCGTGACAAAGAGACAAAAACGCAGCCCTGGCTCCTCCCCTGTAAGAGGCAAACCCTTAAACTGGCTTTATAACCCTGCTAAATGTTTATTGACTGAACGCAGTATTTCTTGGTCTGAGCCGCTCCAAGCCGGCGTCTTGTAAACAAGCTCTGAAGGCACCGGAGAAAGTGAGGCTGTTTGGTTAAAAGCAGTTTTACAAGGTCTCCGCCTCCCCGCTAGTTGAAAGACCACTGGCTCTGAATGTTCCCGGGCTAAAAGCTCACAGACTAATTAACCTTCCGATGGGCCAATGGGCCACAGCTCACACGTAATTACTTTTGTCTGCCCGGTTCATATGCGGCGTGCACGAGGACGGGCCAACAACGGGATAACGTGTGTAATGTTCCTGGAAGTCGACCAAGAGAGCGCCACATTGATTTAAAGCGTCCGTGTTCCAGTCTCATGATGTCTTCCCTTCTTCTTCTCCAAGGCCGAGGGGAACATGGGACCCCTCCAAAGAATCCACTTCCTTCCAACTTAACCCCCTCCCACCCCCCCGATGTTTCGTTCCTTCGCTCCTAAGTGCTCCGTGACGATGGCCCTGTGAAATGCCGCCGTGCAGCGGAAATGTGTCATTTCTCACGTTGTCAGTGTTGATCAGAGAATCCGCAGATACAGACAGTCTGGCAGGGAGACCCTTGCCTTTTTGCTTCTGCAAGCCTAAACTAAACACTGAAAGAAGAAGAAAAAAAGAAAAGACCTCTCCGAGGCCGGTCGCCTCATGCTTATAAAACAGCGTTTTCTCACGCCCGGAGCAGCTGATGTCATAACTGAACCTCAGCCAACATTTAAAGTGAAATGTGCAGTAGAAAGTGGATGGAAGAGAAATGTCTTTCCCCTTTCGGTTATTGCTTCCCGCCTTGGAATCTCCAGCGCCGAGGACATTTGTGTGCATGCTGTGTAACGCATTCCTGTCTGGCGCGGTGTGCCCTGCATGTGCATGTGCAGCGAGGCTGATAAAGAGTCCTCTTTCACCCGACTGTGACGTCGAGCAGGAGGGATTCTGCCATGCCAACAAGCCTCGCTGCTTTCTCAACGAAGATGGCAACACTTTTATAAAAGAAACAAGAAATGGCTAAATGAGCTCCCTCGTGCGGAGACACGGGCACGTGAAGGACGGCGCTCTCAAATTAGAACGTATTGTTTTGGTTCTGAGGAGACGAGGTTGTTTTGTCTCAACATCTGTTTAACTTCCCAGAGTATCGTGTCTCTCCTCTGTACAGCTAATCTCACAGGGGACGGTTGAGCTAGTGGCAAAATGGGGCAATTATGGGATTGGTCTTTGATTACAGAACGCTTCCCGCTCGTTTGTCAGGTGAATTTGCCATTTGGAGGGTCAGACCTCCCGGGATCATTCTGACAGCCTCTTCCTGGCTACATGACGCTCTTTGAAGGGACTCCATCTGCAACAACCGCGCACATGAAAGACAACGTCTTGCTGAGGACCTTTCATTATTTGATCTTGCCCCGTTGAAACCTCCCGGCCATTCGAGGGGAGAACCGGCCCTCTTCCCGCTTTTTTATTTGTTTGCACCTCGTTCTCGTGTCTTTTCCGTCAGTCGCCTTTCTTCCCATCTCTCCAGCTGCGCTGAGCTGTGTGTGACGGACTCCAGCTCCGTCGCCCTTCCCTCCTCCGGCCCTCCCTCTCTGCAAAACCCCCTCATCCCTCCCTCTGCTCTCTCGGCCCCAGCTTCTCACTCTAATTGAAGCCAGAACCTGGGAAAAGTCCTGCAGGTAGGACAGGAATTCAGGGTGGAAAAAAAACAGATCCCGAGCGCCACAAATTCCATCACGCGGCCTCACTTCCTCTGAGCCGGCGGAGCCTGGGCAGCGTGTGCTCGACACCCCGCGCGCCCCCGCGCAGAATGCGCGCCTTTAATGTACAACTCACACTCCGGGACAGCTTTTACTGTGCACGCTGGTGGCAGTTAATCTTGTACACACATAGTTAGCGATATGACTACAGCGGATCCATTCCCAGTTCACACGCACCGGTGAAACGTGAGCGCACGAGCGAAATAAAGCAGCACTTCAAACAGGTCTTTGAAATGCGTGAACGAACACGGTGCTGTGAGCATAATAATTACAGTAGAGGCAGAATGGAAGCCGCCTCGTGACAAGGCCGGCGTGCGGGGGCCTTTTTTTCCCCGACAGGGTGTGCGTACTATCCGACTAATAGACACGGTGGGTGTCAGACGCTGTTTAGTAAACTTACACTTGCTAACCTGTCCATTATGCTCGCTCGAGTCAAAGAGTCCGACTTCTCTTTGATGTTATTTACCGAGGGTTTTTGAAGCGTTATTTTATACACGCCCC